CAAATTTCTATCCTATTTATACAAAAATACAATTATAAGAAATTGCTATCTAATGCTAAACTATTTTATAATGATAAAATAAATATAAAAGATAAATTATAATTTAACAATAATAATAATTTAATACATAATAATAATAAAATATAAGAATAAAATAAATTAAATAAAATGTTGACTAAGTTAAAAATGTTAAAGAAGTTAATAACATTAATCATTCGTCAATCTTTGTGGCATAGTAAGATCAACCTCACATGGTATCAGTGTTAATGAAATTGTTATTTGCAATATGATCCATAAGGTATGCTGAGTGTGAGGGGTTGTGGGATCTCGATAGGTCAGTATTAAAATCTCCTAAAATAATAATATAAAAATTAGCTCTAGTAGCTTCCTCTATAAGAGTACGCATCTGGTAAATTATATATAAATGAAGGGGTTTATCAGAACATGATAAGTAAACGTTAATAATACAAAATTTGTTTTATTTTTAAATTAAAAATCAAGGCAAAAAATTCGATTAAAAAAGAAAGAATAATAAAAAATATGGTCAGCGAGGTATTTTCTAATAAGAAATCTAATGCTAAAACTTGAGCGTCGAGTGTCTGAGTCCATGAAAACGAAGGGTATAAATTTGTTATTGCAAATGGATTTAAGAGAGAAGTGATGAAGGGGCGTAGTAAAATTAGTTTCTTGTAATACAATAATATTCAAATAATTAATCAAATAAAGATCAAATAAAAGTTGTTATTTATGTAAGTTGAGTAATAAATGAGTATTGTGAGTTATAATATTAAAGAAAGTGAGGATAAGTTTAAGATTTGTATAATTATTTTGTATATTTATAAAGAGTATTTAAAAGAAGAGATCAGAGTGGGTTGATTCAGTGCCATTTTCGTTAACCCAAATTGCATCAGGTTTATTTAGTTGTAGAATAGGTATACAAAGTGATTCGTTAGTTGTTCCATACACAAATTTTTGAATACAGATAACTACTTCAAGCACAGAGTTAAGTTTTTTGATATTTTGTTTATTATTTAAGCGTAATTCCTCATTTTCTTAAGTAAGCCATTAGATTTTTCCTTCATATTCTACAATTTTGGATTCAGAGGCATCAACACCCTCTTTATAGTTAGACTCATCTGTCTTTATATCTGCTTTGCCTTTACCTTTATTAGTGGTGTTTAGTTCAACAACTTTCTTAGGAGTGAGTGTGAAGATGTTTAAATGTCTTTCAATGATGTCAAGATGGCAAACTGTAAATGTGAGATCTATATGAATTTTGGTAAGCATTTCTGTGAGTATGTCTAATTTAAGCATTATTTTGGTAGCATCAGATAGTGCCCAGTTGGATAGGTTATCATGTTGTTATTGTGAGAAAAGATAATTGTTCTCAACTTGTTCTGATTAAGATTTGTTGGCATAAATCGAATCATCTAATAATGACTTATTATTATTTTTGTTGTTAAAAGGTGGTTTAGAGTGAGTGAAAATGATAAGGGTTTGTTTGGAGGAGATACATTAAGACGAGTTCAGTTTGCAAAAGATCAAGGATTCTTTGGGTCAAACACAGTATTCTTGTCATTCATGAACATAGGTTATACAGGCTTAAGAGAAGCTGAATAATTTTTGAATTGGGTGGGTTTAAACCTCTGGTAGAGATTTTGGGTTTGATGATCCTGTAGTGCAGCATGCTTCTTTTTACATGAACGAGAGTCATATCTTAGCATAGCACAATATGTATACAGTTTGGTATCAGGTTGTGTCCATACAAGTCTTTTATCATCTTTGAAAACTATCATATCAGTGCCTTTTACAAAGGAGATAGTAACTTGTTACCACAAGTTTTTGGTGATCATGAAACATCTTAGAATATTGCTAAATTTGACGAATATTGATCAGATAACTCTCTCAGATGTTGAAATAGAAATCTCTGTAACCTTGATCGCCAAATTAGAGTTGAAACTAAATAAGGTAGAACGTTTAAGTGACATTAATTTTAAATCTACCATATTGGAAAATTTGGTATATAACGCATTGTTAGCATTCAAACTCGTGAAGAAACCAAATCAGACAATCTTGAACGTTTTGTTTGCAGGATCTTGCTTTACAGAGGTATCAATAAAAGACAGAAAGTTAGCACTGTTAAATATTTTACAAGCATAGTTAATTTATTTTTTATTAGATTTGCCAGAGAGGAAGGTTTCAGTGGCGTAGTAAATATAGAATGAAGAAGCATTGTAAATACATTCAAACGAGGTATATTAGTCAAGAAACCATTTTTTCTAACTAAATTTTCTGTGGGATTATGTGCTTGATCCTTGTCTATAGTGTTAGTGGTTTTAGAAACAGCCAAAGTTGAAGCACTTTCGTTAACAGTTTCAAGTGGTGGGTCTACCTCCATATTGCCTTGTGAGCCAGAAGTGACATTTGAGTTATCAGTATTATTATTATCAGTAGAACCAGAACAGTTAAGAATAGTGATGGTTTTCTTTTAAGGTAATTCCAAAGACTTTTCATCAACAGACGAGTCAGGCAACTATAGGTGTTATGTTGAGTTTTTGGGTTGTTAAATTTTTTCTGAGTGACTTTTCCCATAGTGGTTTTGAGTAAAGTGGGAAGGAATTTGGTTATCAAGTGCTAAAGTTTTAATAAGAAATGATCAACAAATTTTGTGTTACATTATAATGTTACTAAATTGATATACAATTTATATATAAAAAGTCATTCCCAGTTAATTTTAGGTTAAAGTTCAAATTTTAAAGTAAATATAATTTAAATGAATTTTTATGAATTTTCAAAACAAAACATTTATTTTTAACTTATTATGCAATGTATGTTATACTAATAAAAAAGAGGAGTTTAATTAGAAGCAAAAAATATTTTTCGTTAAAATTTATATATAAATGCGAATAAATTGCTGATCATTTATATACTAATTCAAATTTGCCAATGTCGATCAATAACATTTTCCTTGATTGGCAGATCTACAAATCCCTTCGTTGATTGGTGTTATATCTTATGCATAGAAATCAGCTGCTTGTCTTACCTTACGTGAATTTTGTATTCATCCCGCTCATAGTAAATTTTATTAAACTTCCGTAGGTCAAGCTATAAAAATTAGAGCAAACTATTTCATTTCACTTAGTTGAGAAAATATTTTCTTAAGGAATTATAAGAGGACTATGCTGTGCTGTGTTTCAAATCTATTTCTAAAACTAATCTTGCGACATCAAATCCAATCTCGATTTAATTGCAAGATCTTAAAGAAAAAGCAATTATTGATCAATAAATGTGTGGATATTGAGAAATGAAGCACTTATTGCATCAAATTCTTTCTAAGACAATATACTCTATGCTCGAGTATTTTACTTGCAAGTTTAAAGTCTAGGATGTATTCTTCAACCAATTTAAGTACTACTGAATGACACCTCTTCATTTATATCTACTCCTATACTATCTTGATAATAATATCCCCAAAAAACATTGTGTATCACAGATTCCTTGCTCTGCAGAAACAGTTACCATCCAAACGCCTTCTTTTAAAATAACTTCTTTATTTTGCGTTTCTGCATTTCCATTACTTGCATATTTTAAATACCATTCTATCGCTTCTTTTTTGATTTCATCAGTTCCCGTACTGGATTCATAATAATTTTCTAACATTCATTACGCATTTTTACTTCTCCTTCCGCAGAAACTTTATACTATTCAATTGCACTTCTTTCATTTTTTTTACGTTCCTATGACAAATTTATAATAATGGGCTGTGGCATTAATATTTTTTCTCTTCTACTGAAGTATAGTAAACAATTTCAAGGAAATGTTTGAGATTCGTTCTCAAAAGTCTGAATAGATGTGATCTTTTTTGATTTCGCAGTTGACTTACATCGAATAGCAAAAGCAGTTGGAATCGCAAAGTTAAAAAAATGATTTTGTAAGAAGCATTACACTATTAGCAGTCAGCTCAAGTCATCTTTGTTAATCATAAATGTGAAAGGAAAGATAATCCAGCTGTAAGAAATTTTTGGGATAGTTACTGATGCCGAAAATTAAATTTATAGAATGCTCGTTGGATGACAAGATAGGCAGATGTTCAAATTATTGAAATCAATAATCATTATTTACTATGACTCTGAATCAAGTGGTGAGCAATTAAGAGAAATACAATGGACAAGGTCATTGAGTAATCTTGTGGAAAATTTGAATAATATCAGATAGGCCTTAGAATAGTAACATCATATATCACAGGTTAAGTCCCAATTCATATAATGAATTTTGTAACTTTGTATATTTACATAGCATGTAACTATATTGTAAACCGCAAAAATAACGCATAATAAAGATATTTTATATAATATGGGAGGATTTCTAGGAAAATCAGGTTCCAAGAAATTTTTGACTAAAATTAAGAGCTTAATGCATTTTAATCTAATAACATCAAAAACTAAAATGCAATAAAATCTCAATTTTGTTAAAAAATTCCCAGAACCTGATTTTCCTAACAATCAACCCATATATCAAATTCGGTGTTTATTTTTCATCAATTTGCTTCATTATCAGGATTAAGTGATATAGAACTCGTTATCGTCTGACAGTTGTTTTTTAAAAATATAGAAAAAATAATCTTTTTTTTGAGACCTAAAAAAAAAAAAGAAGTTAATGTTAAATCTCGGCCTGAAAAACAATCATATTTGGTATATAAAAGTAAAGTTGCTTTTTTTCCAGCAGTTTCCCACTTTCTATTGGAAAGGTTCCATAAAATGAGCGACTGTAATTAGCAATATTGAGCGATCAATTTGTAAATTCTTTCTTTTATGGTACCAAATATTTGATTCGGATGATCCGGGATTAATTCTCAATTTGGATGGTTCGAAAATATTGTACGACATTATCTTTCATTTAAGATATATTGATTCGAATCAGGCTAATTCTAATAAAGTCTGTTTGAATTTAAATATAAATTTATAATTACTCACAAACTTAAATTATTACTACGGATCATCCGAATTATAGGACGTAAAAATTTTAATAAATTAAATAAAAGAAAAAAAAAAAACTTAAAATTAATACGGGCAACCCTATTTCGATTGCGGTATAAGAGATTATTAAATTATTTCTAAAATATATTCTATGCTGATCTCGAAACATATATATAAACGTTTATTTTTTTTAGCAGAAATATTTTATATTCAAATCCATTTTTTAAAAAATGCAAAGTAAAACATTCATAACATTGACGTTTCTTATTTTAACCATTATTTCATCGGTTCATGCTTGGATTACCGTAGGTTTATCCTATAGAGTATGCGAACTCACTTTTACTGATGATGTAATCCACATCAACGAGCATGACGCTCACTTTTATACCAATTCCACAAAGGTCAAGAGAATAGAATCCTATAATCAAACCTCAAATGGATTTGTACTTAATGTCACTATGTACGGGTGTCAAAATAATTGTGGTTGGTCATTTGACCTAAAAGTAGATAATTCTACAAGGAAAGTTACGCCAGTTGCTAGTAAACAGCTTCCATATACCTGTGTGGACAACCCAACCACGTGGCGAGTTGATCTGGAAGCCAAAGTTTTGAGTGTTGGAGATACTCCTAATCCAGATTATCCTTTTTCTTTTAACCTAGCTATGGATTATTGTAAAAATAATTACAACATA